GAGCCTTCTTGGCCCGCTCGGGTGGCCTGGCCCGCTCGGGTGGCCTAGCCCCCGAAGCCGCAGGTCCCAGCCCCCCATCCCTGCAGCATCCTTTCCTCTCCCCGCAGGGAGAATGTTGCGTTTTTTTTAACCCCTCAGGTGCCGCCGCCTCTTGGAAAATGGTAAGGGTGCCCTTTGGGGTGGATCCTAGGATAGCTGTGTTTCCCCCAGAATGGGACTGGCATGCCTTCCCACACCCTACAGCAGGCTCTGCCCACAGATCCCGAGGGCCTGGTTGTGTCAGAAACCCTGCGGGACCTTGGCAACCCCTTCCCCTCAGTACCCCCAGCTGGCCAGTGGGCTGACCCTCCTCTGCATCTTCCCTGGCAGTTAGGCTCTGGGTTCCCAAGGGCCCCTCCCTTATTTCTAGGCCTCTGTTAAAACAGCGCCCCCCTCCCCAGACCAGATGTTACAGTAGCTTTAAGCTGGTCAGACAGGATTCCCCATGCTCTACCTGCCCTCTGAAGATAGACTGGCCTCCATTCCCCAGCTTTAGGTAGCACAAGAGGAGGATGGCAGGAAGGCCACCATGGCTCCCCAGTCTGCCTCAGAGCCATGAGTTATCTGAAACAATTTCCCCAGGTACCAGCGTGAGGGCCAGTCCCAGCATGGGATGGAGGAGCTCAGCAGGGGTGGAAGTCAGGATGCCCCTGCATCTAGAGACCCCAAGTGACACCATCCCACAGAACCGGCCCCAGCCAGCTGGGCGATGACTGCTTTGGGATGAAAAGTTCACTGAGCTGGGGGTGAACTGAGCTGCTTGGGCCACTCAGATCCTTCAGGACCCTTTCTTGGAAGCCCTGAATAGCCTGGGCCCAGAGGATGAAATGTGGGGTTTCAGCCCTGCCTTCACTTATTCCCTACGGCTCATTTGACTTCCCCAAGCCTGCATTTCTCCATCTGTAAATTGGGGATGATAATCATGAGCACCTCCATGAGTAGTGGTAAAGATTAACTGGGGAGGGAGGTGCCAGGCACTTAGCATATTGGCAAGTTAGTAACACCCCATAAGCCTTAGCTGTTGTGACCATAATAATAATTGTCATTTATTGTCTCCTGGCTGTTCCAGACTTTCCTTTTGTTCAGTTGACAGCTGGAGATCCCCCAACCATTTCTTCTACTGGGAAGGAAAGCCTTTGACAAGACCCTTGATGGGGATGGGGGTCACTTGCTAATCCTGTGCCATTCCTTAGCATTTGGGGTCAAGGCGAATTGACCCTGTCTTTCTGGACACATCAGGCCCTGGGTGGTACCTGCTCTGGCCTCTGGCCACCACCTTGTCCTTGTTCCCTGGGGCACACACATCACCCACGTGCCCACGATTTGCGCTTCAGTCCCACCTGGCCGAGCCCGGTTGCATTCTTCAGGGCAGGCAGATGGAGACAGGGACATGGTTCCAAACAGCCCTCTGGTCCCCATCCTCCCTCCTCCCCTGGTGGTCTTGTCCCCTTCACCCTTTTGCTCAGTAACTTTAAAAATAACACAGTAGTCTGTCCCCACTGAGGGCTGTAAGCTGACCCGAGCTGGATTTGGCCCCGTCAGAGCCTGGCGTAGGAGGACTCAGCACTTGGGAGCCGGGGACTCCAGGCGCTGTTGCTGTGCTGCCTCCAGCCCACCGGCTGGCCCTCGACAAGCCTCACTCCCTCCCTCTCTGGGCCTCAGTTTCCCCATCTGTAAAACCTGGTTCAGATAGTCTGTGATGCTGGAGTGCGAACTTTTGTTTATTCCGGTGAAGATAAACAGCTGGGGCCCCTGGGTGGGTGGCTGTCAAATGTGACATGACCCGAGGTGAAGGGGTGTCAGGTGTTGGGAATAAACTCTGCCAGTGACGAGGGGTGGGGGTGGAAAGAGCTGGCCAGGCCCCTGGGCAGGTCTCTGCCAGATCTGCTTCCTGTCCCACTTCTGAATCCCATGTCCTTCCTGGGGCCTGAGGGATTCCTTGTGCCCACCAAGAGGTGAGCTGCAGCCCAGGTGGCTGGCAGGGAGGGCCTGGGCAGCCAGCAGTAGCTTGGCCAGGAGGCCTGGGGAGGCACCAGGCCAACAGCATCCCTCCCCGGGCTCCGACTCAGGCTCACCCACTCTCTGGCTCCCCGAGGCCTCTGCATTGCAGCAGACAGGAGCCTGCGCTGGCAGCCCAGCCGGAAATGGGGGTGGAACCAGGGGCTGGCCAGGGGGTGTCTGTTCCCCCAGCCCCACTTCCACCCCCTCCCCTGCCCTTGAGCCCCCTCATCAGCCCTGCCTTCCTTTGGAGGGGCAGCTGCTGACGAGGCAGCTGTCTTCTCCGGGACAGATTGAGTCTGCCTGGAAATGCTGTGGTGAGGGCAGAGCCTGAGCCTGGGGACTGTCCCGCCCCCGGGCCCCCTCTGCATCTCAGATCCTCCTGAGCATCAGGAGGAGGATTGTTAGAGGTCTTGCCCACCCCCCGAGAGGCTGTTTTTTAGAATTATGGCTTTGGAGTTAAAAGCAGGATTTTAACCCAATTCTGCCACTTCCTAACCGTGTGACCTGGGGCAGGTCACTTGAACTCTCTGTGACTCAATTTTCTCAACTGTAAAATGGGGGGCAATAACAGAACCTGCCTCATAAGCTGCTTGTGAGGATGAGTGCATGGATATCACTCAGAACAGGGCCAGGCACACATCAGTGTCAGCTCTGCTTCCTGTTGTTGCTGTCCTGGTCATTGTTGTCACTGTCATCACTTCTGCGTCTTGGCTGAGCCCCCTCTGGTGTAGACTCTATTCTCCTTTGACAAACCCACTCTGTTAGCACTTGCTGCATTGACAAGCATTTTAGCTTAGCAATCCCAGCTCTGCTACTTACCAGCTGTGTGATCTTGGGCAAGTTATTAACTTCTCTGGGCCTCAATTTCTCCATCAGCTAAATGGGGACGATGATAGTGCACATCTTGCAAGGTTGTTATGAGCATTAAATTAGCAGACACGCACAGAGCACGTGGCACACCTAAAGGGCCAAGAATGGGCTGTGCTGCAGAATTGGTCACCCATAGGTACCAGGAACCTGCTGTGTGTCGGGCACGCACTACGGAGGTTGCGAGTCAGGCACTGGGATCTGTCACATATTGGCTCAGGTCCTGGCTGGGGCCTGTGTGGGCAGGGTCATATGGGCCAGATGCTTTTGCCTCTCTGTGCCTCAGTTTCCCCAACTGTAAATGGGAATGTGGGAGCTATGGGGGAGAGGGTCTCTCCAGCTGGCCTGCGATTCCAGTCACTAGCACTCTCCCCTCCACTGAGGACTCCAGACAAGCCTCATTCCAAAACTCAGGCCCCCAGGCCCCCAGGCCCACATCTCATGATGTTCCTGCAGCCCCTGCTGTCTCCTAGACCCTGACTTGAGTTCTCAGGGACTCAGTGTGGGGCCCACTTTGGACAAAGCTCCAGAAAACCAAAAGATCCTAGGGCTGGGCATGACAGCCATCTTGGCCTGGAGGAAAAGATTCTGGAAACTTCCATGTGAAAGTCCCTGGGTTGCTCTCCAGCCTGTAGCCACCCCCTCTTGGTCTAAGAGGGTTAAGGTTTATTTGGGATGATTAAAGTTCTGATATGGGGAGGAGGGAAGTAACAAACATTTATTAAACACCCACCGTATGTGGTAACAATCAGGAGCAATTATTATGTGCCAGACCCGTGCCCAGAATTGATGCTCGTATATTAAATCTCCTGCTAATGTTTTACAAGTAACGTGTTTGTAAACAAGTGAAGGTTTGGAGACATTGATAATAATAATAGTAGTAGTAGTAACAAAAACCACGACTGTTCATTACACTTTTTGCTTACTTCAGCTTCATCTGCAGAGTCCTCCCAATCCCTGCCCCCCTACCTCTCTGACTTCATAGGGCCTCCTTGCCTCCCTCCAGCACACCAACACATCAGGGCTCTGGCATTGTCTGTTCCACCTGTCCAGAATGCCTTTCCCCCAGATGTCCACATGACCGACTCCCTCACCTCTTTCAGTCTTAGTCAAGTGTTACCTTCACAGTGAGGTCTTCCCTATTTAAAATTGCCCTCAGCCCTCACTGCCCCCCATCGCTTACACCCTACTCTTTTTACCCTCTAGCCCTGTCTCTTAGCCTACCATATCATCTATTTGTTATATTTATTATCTGTCTCTGACGTGCGTGTGTCATCGCCACAAGAGCAGGGATCTTTATTATTTCTGTTCACTGTTAAATCCTCGGCACAGAGAACAGAGTCCATGCTACAGAGGGAGCTCAGCAAATATTCCTTGAATGAATGGAACCTTTGCAACACCCCTGTGCTATCAGAATTCTTGTCACTGCCATTTTACAGATGGGGAAACCAAGGCTCAGAGATGTCAAGTGACTTTCTCAAGGTCGCACAGCCAGCAAGTTGCGCATCTGAACCCCTTTCCCTGTTCCCCCTACAGGTCTGGCCTCGCCCCACAGACAATGGCCCTGCCCCCGTGAGCTAGAGCCTGCCCCACGGTGCCTGCCCACCACCCGCCAGCAGGATGCAGCTGTGGAAGGCGGTGGTGGTGACCCTGGCCTTCATGAGCATGGACATCGGCATGACTACGGCCATCTACGTCCTCAGCCACCTGGACCGCAGCCTGCTGGAGGACATCCGCCACTTCAATATCTTTGACTCGGTGCTGGACCTCTGGGCAGCCTGCCTGTACCGCAGCTGCCTGCTGCTGGGGGCCACCATCGGCGTGGCCAAGAACAGTGCCCTGGGGCCGCGGCGGCTACGGGCCTCGTGGATGGTCATCGCCCTGGTGTGCCTCTCCGGGGGCATCTACACCATGGTGAAGCTGCTGCTCTTCTCCGAGGTGCGCAAGCCAGTCCGGGACCCGTGGTTCTGGGCGCTCTTCGTGTGGACGTACGTCTCCCTCGCTGCCTCCTTCCTGCTCTGGTGGCTGCTGTCCACCGTGCGGCCGGACGCCAAGGCCCTCGAGCGGGGGGCGGGTGCCGAGGCTGAGGGCTTCCCGGCGGAGGCCCGGCCCCAGCCCGAGCAGGCATCGGGGGCCACGCTGCAGAAGCTGCTGTCCTACACCAAGCCCGACATAGCCTTCCTCGTGGCGGCCTCCTTCTTCCTCGTCGTGGCGGCTCTGGGTGAGTGCGGCCCCGCGGGGCCGGCCGGGCACCCGGGAAGTCAGCCTGGGGGGGCGGTAACCAGCTCGTCTTTCCTCTGAAGTTGTTAGCACCTTACTTACGTGGTTCAAACATCAAACTGATACTCAGAGATGAATAAACATTGAGAGTTTCCCTCCTAATTCTGCCCCTGACAACCCTGGTCCCTCTGCCCAGGGCTAGCTACAGGAAAAGGTCCCAGAAACTTCCAAGTGGGCAGGAAACCACCTGTTCATGTCTTCCAGTGTTTCCTTGTGCAGCTACAAGCAGATGAGAACACGTCACTCTCCCCACCTCTTACGCTCTATTTTGTGTCTTGCTTTTTTTCACTTAACAGTACAGAATTTTCCCAATCAGTACCTCATTTTTTTATTTGGCTGCATAATATTCCACTGTGTGGTTCTACCATAGATTATCTGGCTGACCTGCTGTTGGGCTCTTGGGTTGTTTTGAGCCTTCTTCTCTCAAAATAAATCACCTTATTTCTACACGTTTCATAAAAATGTGGATATACCTGTAGGATAAATTCCTGGAAGTGGCATCTCTGAGTGAAAGCATTTTTTGTAGTGAAGCAGAATAGATTAGAGACCATCAGAGTACGTTGTCTGTGGTAAGATTAAGC